TTTACTTTTTACCAAAGTGTTGATCAGCCAATCCAAAATCTTGACCAATCACCAACTGGAGATTCCGGTGTAACAAATACATCAAATATTATTTATATTATATATAATTTAATATTAGAAATATACTTATTAATTCATATTTAACAAAACAGATTATACTCTTAAAGTGATTTATCTTATTGGCCTCTCAATTTAGTTAACTTTACTAGTAACAAGAATAAGAAAAATCTTGTCTTACAAGTGAAAATCTTTCTAGTGATCTCTATTGTAGCTTAATAATTTTATTCTTTTCTATTAAATCACTAATCTGAATTGTACTAATTTAACAGTTATGTGAATGCAAAATAACTTTTTTAAAGCAATTAATCCAAAATATTTTATTATTTTTTTTTATGCAACCTTGATCGACTAGGATTAATCTTTATACAGATAAATAAAATTAGTTAAAATGGAGTATAGTACTGTCTATATATTCAAATTTTGATATAATATTTTATATAACTTGCTATAGGATTAATTAAAATTAGATTAGAAGTCTTTCTTTATACAATTTTTTTTTATATGGTCTGTTGCAACTCTATAATTATTAAAAAAGCCAAAAGTTCTATCTTCATATAGTTTAATTAAAAAAAATTTATAATAAACTATAATTTTTTTTAAAAAAATCATTTACTATATTTGGCTCTATAAACAAAACATACTTATAACCATAAAATTTCTTTTTAATACTCAAATTTTATTTACAAAAAATTTAAAACTAATAAAAATTTTAATCTTAATCAAGTTTAAAAAATAATTTATATTATTATTTATTTAATTTATTTTTTAATAAGTATACTTCAACTTAAAAATTTTTTTAACAATTTTTAATCAATTTAATAAAATCGCTAATCTCTTAACAAAATTTAAAATAAAATATTTAAACTTATTTATTTTTATGTTTGAATCTTAAAAAATAAAGATATAATTACAAAAAAAAAATTTCAATATATTATAAAACACCAATATTTTAATAAATAATAAACAAATATAATAATATAAAATAATCAATATTATACTTAAATTTTTTTCTTAAAATTTATTTATACTTTTTTAGAATAGAATAAATTATTAGAAAAATATTAGTTTTTTAAGATTAGATAGTTTTCTTTTTTTTTTACTTAAGAATTTTTACTAGAGATATATTTAATTGGGTAATAAATTGATATATATAACAATATATTTACATTTTAATATTAATTATATAATAAATTATTTATTTTATTAATAAAGATTATAAGAAATATCTTACTTTATATTAAAAAATTATTTGGTTTATATAATATATCGTTAAATTAAAATCAGATTATATATATAGTATATTGAATAATTATTTGAAAATATACTTTAAATTTATAAATTATTATATATAAATTAAATTAACTTTTGAAATACTCAAATTATTAAATACAATATAAATTTTTTAATATAGTTATAAAACAAAATTGTCACAAAGCAATTTTAAATTAGTGTTATTAATATTCTTTATTTTTTAGATATGATTTTTTAAAAATATAATTTATTTAAAAAATATCAACTATATTAATAAATTAAAAAAACTAAATAAGTTCTATTAATATTAAATTATAGTTTAAAATATAAATAATATTTAATATAGTTATAATATTAATATATATTAATAGATAATAAATAATCAATATTTTTTTATTAAATAAATAAATAAATATAATAAACTATTTGAATTTAAGTAAAAATTAAAAAATATAAAATATAAAATTTTTAATAAATAACAAATATTAAATTATAATATAATTTAAAGTTGATTAAAATTTACTGTAATTAAAAAATATTTAACAAGATTGATTATGAATTGATTAGATTTAATTTAATTTTTTTATAATTTTTAATTATTACAAATTTTTTAAATATTTACAAATTCATAAAATCAAAAATGTATTTATTTAAAACAAATAAAATTTAATGTAATATTTTTGTTATAAATATTTTTTAATATTGTATATCAAATCAAGTATTTATAATATGATTATTTAATTTTGATAATATTAAAAACCAAAATTTTTTTTAAAAAACCATATCATTATAACAATATAATATAATATATAATGTATATAATAACTTGTAAGAAATTTATTTTCAAGATATTAAAAAATTAAAATGTTTTTTTTTATCACATTATATATGGCAAATTACAAAACAATCAAGTGCTACATGGAAAAGCCATAAATATAGAAATAATAATGAGAATAACAAAATTATTATTATATTTTTTAAAAAAAGAAAACCCATTTATCATAATTAAATTAACTAGATTGGGTTGTTTAAACCTGTCAAACACAGTACATTCGTTATCTAAATTACACTTACAAGGCTTATTCAATTGTTGCTAGTATTATATTGAGCAAAATTGATAATAATAAATTTGTTGGTTAACATCTTATGACATGACAATGAATTAATAATTACATTAATTTTTGATTTTTAATTTAATTTTTTTTTTAAAAAGTAATATATTGTAAAAAGAATAAAGATGATATCATACGACTGCTTTATGTTTCATATTTGTTCAAACCGTCGGGCATTACCTTCCGCGGTGACCGTACATAATTCATTACCACAACCTTCTAGGCAACATCAAATGACATACAGTATTTCCTATTTTTACAGATCTCTGCCGGAAATTACCATATGCATACGATGATCACCTGAAATGGAAATCCACACTTTGGGCATTCACGAAATCAGAAATTTTTTGTTTTAATATCATGCCGCATAGATATAAAATCGGAAAAAATTTTCCTTAATTGCTCAACTTGGACGATGCCAACCTATATATAGCATCATCAGCCTACCAATACCACAATCATTTTCGGAAATAAGACTCGCGGAATGGAATGAGACAAAAAAAGTTGTTTGCGATGTTCATCAAGTTTAACATCTGGAATTGTCCTGAAAATGCGGAGCACAAAAACCGAGTGGGCACCGAGTCCTTGAAAAAAAGAATTACGAAACAAACACCAGCACAGCCACCATCGCTATCCATCATTCATCCCGACATGGTTTCAACAGTCGCAATTTTGGTTGAATGTGATGACGGTAGAAATTAACAAATGTAAAATCTTATTTTTAAGTGAGGCTTAGATTTCTATGGTTTGAGTAACTTTTGTTTAGATTAAGGAATTCTTTACGTAAAAGTTCCTTATTTAATAGGGGAAGGCTGCAGACAAGTATCCTTTTTAATTATTGTGAAATGTAAACAATGTTCAAAGTTTATACATTCTATGTTGTAAAAAAGTTTGGATTTATCATTCTCACACGAGATCGTGAATTAAGAGTTGACTGTGTTACGAACAACGCATACACACAAGAAATCATTACCACCACTTCCCTGTTAATGGCATTCTGGCACAATGCAAAGAATTAATGTTTTTTTTTTAAGATGCGCTGATGCATGTTATGACGAAGAGTTGACAGTTTCGGCGTTCTTTGATTGAATTAACTTTAAGTGGCAATAGGAATATTTAATTAGTTGCATTCCTGTCAAAAAGAAAAATATTTAATGACATTTAATGAAATTTATTCGTGGCGGATCTTTGATTGATTGACACACGTTTGCATGAGGTGAAGTAGTCGACTCCGTATCTGTTGTTTGTTCACATCTGTCACAACTCGTTCGTTCATCAATGTTGCACGCAATACGTAATTGCGTTTTCACAATGAACCCTGGTCATGGCAGATCCAGCATTATTTGGCATCTCGTAACTCGCAAGGGTAAACAGATTCATATTAATGTCCGGAAGTCGCTTCCAATTCTAGACCCGGAACGCAATTTCACTATTTAAAGCTCATAACCGGTATATGCCAGTGATCATAAGAAATCCATTCGTCGTCATGTAAGAAATATTTCGGTGTCACTTTACTGGTAATTTTCAAGTCCACATAGTTTTCAGGGGTGTAAACATCATTTTTTAGACATGGCCCCACGTTTTTTTAGATACCGGTGATCTCCGAATAGAGCAATGTGGATTCACCGTGATTTTTTCTTGTGCGGACCAGAAGTCGCATTAGGAAACACAGAAATCACCAATAGGGTTAACATCAAAATGCGATCATTGTCTTCACCGAGTTTATTCAACACGCGAGACGATCGGGCATTGATCACGTCATGGCGCCGGATCCAAAGCATGTCGCCAATGCGTACTGAGACAGGATGATAAATCTATCGCCATTTATACAAATGCGTACGATCAATATAAAGTTTGATATGGTATGATGAGCAAGTACGTAAGCTTGGGATGCAGTGAGAAAAGACACGGATCGATATCTAGAAAAACATTTTGATTGTTTACAAACTTTAATCGTGCCATCTAACCTAGCCTGGATTTGATTGAAATTACTGCAATCGGACACAAATATATCTTGTGACCCCTCGGAAGGACGGGTCTTTGATTTTTTATGTTTAGTTCGTCAATTAGATTGGTTAGATTCAGGATTCTAACATCGATTAGAGGGTCAATCTCTATCCATATTTATCATGCACCACCATTTTTTGTGGAGAACGTGCTTTTTTTTTCTTTTTCTTTTTATTTTGAGGTTTCACATAACAATTAGACCTCTAATCAAAGAACAATATTAGTAATCTTGGTAATAATGCGCGCACATCAACTGCGAAAGAAGAAAATGGTCAATCGATGTTTTTTTTTTTTAAACTCTGAAAAATTGAATTATTTGTCTCACAACCAAATGTCAGTCACGACGCAGTCAAGGTCAAAAGGTCAAATTAGGACAGTCCAATCATCACCTACCATAATCGGTCAGAGGGATCCGCGGAAAAGAGACCGGGATGTGCTACATGTGTGAAAGAAAGGAACGTCATCAACGATTGGTCCCATCACCAATATCATTAAACCAATAGTCATGGTCGATCATAGCAAATTTTCTTTTCGTACCCACCACCACAATCATAGCAAATTTGTTTTTCGTACCCACCACCACAATCATAGCAAATTTGCCTTTCGTACCCACCTCAAAGAAAAAATAAAAATTGCAGTGTATCGGTGTATCGTTCGCCATATCTATTTTAAGAACAAATAATAAAGCTATTTGATTTTAGGAATTTTTAAAATTGACCACCAAACCTAAACCTAGTGTGGGTCGCCTCTGAAACCTCGCATAATATTTGGTCGGTGTGCACCTAGTTTTTTTTTTTTTCTACATTGAAATATGCAGAGGAATCATTTCCGTGCAGGGATTTCCGGGGTGAGCATGCATTATTTTGACACACCGTAATATAAGTTAATAATTAGGGCTTGGAAATTCATCGACACATTAACTGCATATTATATTGTGATCGAATTCTATTGGGTTCGTTTTTATAAGAAGAGCTTACAAACAAACGAAATAATTGAGCGGCAGATGACGAGATGATTATATAAACGGTCTAAAAATGATATCATATCCGATCACTCGTGTTTTTTATATAGGGTTTGAGTGGTTCTGTTACGGTTGCACGCAACCACCAACTAGATTCTCCTTTTGAACCGTCAATCAATCAATCGTTCATTCTCCTTATCTGTTGCTGTTACGATCACCCAATTTTATTGGTGCAGCCATATTGTGAATTATTGGAAACAGGTAAAAAATTGCACCCAGTTTCGGCTATTCGTTAATACTTGTGAATACATTCGTACGAAGAAAGTAAACCGTGCATTCCGAGTAAGTGGTGTTTCCTTTGTACAATACACTTCACAACACGGACCATCCCTAGTGTGTTGTGTTGACTCCAAACTGCATTCTGATTGACCAGCAACTTTTCAAACGGGTATGAAAACCACCGCCCTGAATGGAGTTTTCTTTTTTTAGGTCTCCATTAGTTCACCAGAATTTTTATTAAATGAAATTCAATTCAGAAGCGGTGTTTCAAAACAACAATTCACAAATGATTCGTCAGGCGCTAATACATAACACGCAAAGACCTGACAAATAGACGTTTGTATATAGTAACCATATCCGTCACTGTGCCCGAATGTTGCACTTTTCCAAGATTTTTCTGAAATTAGTGAAACAAATTACACCGTTTTACAATTTTATTGTGCCCACACAAAATTAATATGCAAATGTCAAATAAACCAAATCCGGCGCCTTATTTGTTTGTTAATTCTTAAAATGTTGATGCACGATCGTTCCAGCATTGTCATCATATTTGAAGGCAAACGGCTATACATTAATTAGGTTTGCCATAGTTTCCGGAAATGGGTTGGTTCGTTTGACACATGATGATGTCGAGTAAATGAAATAATGTAGAAACTAGTCCGTCGAAACTTGGTTTTTACACCGGGGACAGACCACGGAACGACCGAAGGATTCTGGTAATTCATGTGGAGAGAACAAAGGGAGTTAGCAAAAAGGAATTCTATTGTGACCATTCTTAATCAAAAACCTGTTTTTCGAGCATCGAGATTATCGAAGGGAAAAACCGGTATTTTCTCTCTTTTGTCGTTGAAGGACACATGCACAAAGGAAATCACATCTGTGATGCGCAGCAACGAAGGTGCATGACGCATCACATAAGTGGGCCGTAGTAATCTTTAAATGTTCCATGTATGCGTTTCTCCTTGCATGCTTTACTCCGCAAGTATTATTTACGGAAATGGAATTTATTAGATGTTCAATGAATTATAAAGATTTTGTCCAAGAGAGAGAGAGATAGGTGGTGGTGGCATGGTGCGAGGTTAATCATATCATGGCAGAAAAAAAATTTTTTTTTCGTTCTTACATCATCTCTCATCACCAGAACAATTAGGAATACCTAATACTCACAATAAGATACATTATCATGCGCCGTTAAACTTGTTTGCGAACAATATGCAAAAATCGTCACATTGACATCTTCTATAATTCCAAAATTATAGTGTCCCCTCCGAGTTCTACCGATTCATTTCGTAAGAACATACAGTAATTCGATCGCAGAAAAAAATTTTTTAGCAAAACCATGAAATTAATTTATCTTCCAATCACCCATTCCCCATTCCTGGACATGAACCTACAAACCCCACAAAATTTCCTTGACCCTTGTTTTATTAATAATACAAAAATATGCCAGGTTATGCGAGTTAAACAATTCTACAATAGAATAAATATACTCACAGTATATACAGTACATACAGTACATACAGTGATCAGGCACTGTCAATCTTTTTTATAAAAATGGTCATTGTCTCCGTGCCATCGCTGAGTTGTCCTTTTTTTTTTTTGATTGCACATGAAAATTCACACAAATTTCAAAGTACCATGGTCACCCGGAATCTAACCTTTTTTATGGATGACGTGAATTGGAGGGAAATTTTCCAAGTGGGTTGGAAAATCTGGATGAACTCTGTTCAATGATTTTTTCTTAGTTTTAACACGTGCCTACCTGATCATTCATTATCACGTGAATACCTACCGTTCATCTGCGCATAGAAAATACTACTGGCTCATTACACAAATGACATATAAGAGTTCATTCCGAATACGTAAATTTTCTTTGGAAGGCTCTTGTCTTCTACACTACTCAATTCATCACTGTAAAGTCGTAGATAATGTACGTTCTGGTCGTCCAACCTATATTGTGCAACTAATCTTTTTTTCCGAGGCTAACGTCATTTTCTTTGTTAAAGACGTCGTTCTTTGTACTTCACGTTGCAAAGAAAAAAAAAAGTTCAAAAATGGGTGTCACTTATTTTGCCGACATTTGCCAAATTTGGAATTTTCTCGAAAAGGTTTCTAATATGTTGATTGAATGATTAATTTAACTCCATAGATGGTCAGATTTGAATTCCTCACCTAAATCTCGATCCCCTTTTGTCGGGGTGCATCAAAAGACAAAGGAGGTTCCCCCCGCGGTTTAACATTTTTGGGTTTTTCACAATTTTCTGAATTTAGTTAAATTGGGAAATAACAACAATAAGAAAAAATTTTCTTTTTATTATCAATGCATGAGGACATCACGAAAATCACATGATTCGGGTTGCACCATCTTCTGCAGCTTTGCTGTCATGGTGATGATTATGTTGTGAAGGTATTGTCTCGAGAGTTCATCTGCCTTCCTTTGTCAATGAATTAATGAGTCATCACCAGGATCATGTACCCATCAATTCTACCTAGCTTCCATCTCTTTCCATCCATCTACACTCACTAAGGAAGGACAAGCGTCAAGAGTTTTTTTTTTCCTTAGCGTCACGCAAATTCATATCGAGAACATACGGTACATCGCACACACGCATACTCAGCATACGGGTGCATGTGCTGTAGATACGTGGATCGGTCCTCGGTCAACGTGGAAGATCCATCCGATATTTGGTAAAATGATAATTACAGCATCATCCAATGGCTCTGCTGAACTACGCGGTCATGTGACACAACTGATGTCGCGTGTTGCAAGTCGAAATTATTGTCGATGATGGTGCATTCTGTTTTGCAATGCAATATTTTGTGATTTTGATGCAGGTTTTTTTTGTACGGCCTCGCGGATTTTTCGTTTCATCTTCCTGGAATCACAAGAAAACCTACGTAATTTTATGCGCGTGGAATATGAAATTTCAAGGGTCGTATCTAAGAATCTAGGTAAAAGGAAATCTTTGGACCAACCAAATCTCATTCTCAGACTTAGGTAATTAAACATGATTCCCTGGTTTTATCTATTCCCGTGTTTCAACTTTTGTTGCATTACATATGGAATTGAGAATTTTGTAGGTAAAAGAAGGATCTCTAAGTTTAAACTGTTGTGTCACGGTAACGTTACAATGAGATAGAAGGATGTCATTGTTGAACTCACTGTGCAGGTATGCGTAAGATGGTTTATTCGAAACGAACTGTCTATGAATAAACCATGATGCTTCGAAAATTGAATCTTAAAGACCACGCACAAGTACGATCTTTTTTTTTTTTTTTTACGAGGAAAATTACTAATTCCTGGTGTTGGTAGGTTCACGTTTAGGTTCGGGATGTAACCGCTTTTATCAAAGAGTATTTTTTAAGAAATCCGTCGTGCCCCTTTCTTGCATTCAACGATACTCGCTGGCAGGAGAGATGCATAGGTTTGTCCAAAAACTTTCTTGATTTTAAATCTGCTTAATGACAATGACGGTGAGATGGTGAAAGTCATATCAATTGATGCTTATTATTTCCTACGACGTTCAGTGTGAACGTTAATGTATATTCTGTATGTGCATATGACCATCTTTTTCAAGCGCTGACATTGTTTGCATGCATAATGGCGTGCAATATTAGTTTTACCTGGCACGGGTGATTAATTACTTGATAGTGGCGTGGTCAATTGGTTATTATTTCTAGCCTCGCTCAATTGTTACCCTTCTCCGTGGTCAGCTGCTGTTATTCTTTCCGGATCTACATTGGCCGCGAGGGTAAATAATTTTGTTTAAAAATCACGCGGCGGAATATTCTTTCGCATACGTGTAGCTACAAGAAATTGCCTTCTCTCTACTTGTCACCTCATGTTGATACATGTCTATTCACGAATTACTGTATTATGGTCTCGGGTGATTTTTCTTTGGATGAGTGTGAGTGTTTTGTCGGGAAATGCGTACTACTCTTTTGTCAAAATGACCAATAGCATGAATGGACGTCTATTCGAACGATGGCACCAAACCGTCCATTAGCACCTGTCACCTCATACGTCGTTTTTAAGATATGTTGTATATATCACGTGTTCTCAATTGTAACCGTAAAGGAAATTCATAGGTAACAATAGACCTTAATCAGGCGAAAAATTGTATCACGTGTCACATACCTCTACATGTGTAACGTCATTTAAGGCACTTTCATGAGGGAATATCCCAATTAATAATTTGAGGACATGTAAAATTTAAAATTTTTATTCCAATGTACAAGTGGTTCATCCGATCCCGTTGATGATAAATGGGATCTCGGGATTTGTACAGTATCATCCTACTTAAACACACATGCAGTATATAGACACTGGCTACTCGTTATGTTCATGAATTTCAAAGTTATCAGTCGGCAGAATGCGAACGAGACATGGTGCGTGTGAAATTTCAGCGATGTGAATGATGAATGGCTGGCATCGCCGTCCAATAAATTTTTGTTTTGATGGGTTATATGGTTGGGCATGTACGAGGTTCGGAGGGAACACTTTATTTAGTTGTGTGTATCACGCCGCAAATGACGAATGTATGTCCAAAGAATAAAATGAAAATGTGGCGTCATGGGCGCAAAAACTTTAATTTCTTCCTATGAAGGTGTTTTTATTATTAGGATGGTGTTTGGTAACGCAGTCATTGCACGCGGTTGTGAATGCGTTAAAATTAGAAAAAACCTTCATCTTATCGGCGGCAATTATTCCATAAGTGGCGATGGTTAGATGCACGCTTGCTGGTTAAGGTTCAAAGCAAAAGGTTAAATGAATGAAATACTGGAAATAATGTATTCCGAAATCCTGGTTCGGTCGATTAAATTTTTTCGGTCAGACGTACTGTATGTCCTTTGATAAGTTTGCAGTGTAAACAAATGATAAATAAAAAAATAACAAAAAGAGCAGGTTAAAAACGTCAACAAAACAAAAACAAACCTTACGCCGTTCATATTAAGAAGGTTCTTGTTACGCCTCTCGGGTGTTTTCCTGCTTACCATTGGTTTCGCCAATTATCCTGAGTGAGACTGTTTGCTCTTTAGGTCGCATTTCCCTCTTCAAATTTGCGTGCCGATGGAAAAGCGGATCATAAGCTGATGCTTGAGAGACCCATCCCCGTTGACGTCGGAGATGAGGTCGATGTCGGTTGACCGTCTGACATTCGCTCGCGCTTTTTTGAATGCGCTCCTACATGCGAGCGTGGTGGTGGTGAACGAGAACATTTTCGCTCTTGGGGCACGCTCGTTTCTTTTAGGTTTGACAGTAACTGCGAGTGGTAGGAATAATTGAGTTGCATCAAGCGAGTTAGAGGTGCAGCAGCTAATGTCAATGCTAAATTGGATATACATACAATGGCGATACATGTACAGATCCTGTGCAGAGGTATAAATTTCTACGCATTACGTACGCACGCAAATACGTACGTACATAACCGTTCTTTACGGGCGCATCATATACAAACATGCGATGCGACCAAACAAAACATATGTCCAGTACATATAATTTTCGACCAGCCAGACAGCAAAACAAAATAGCACGTCAAAAAATGGAATTCCCTCGGTCATTGGTCGCCTTACAGAACACCAACTGCGGGCGTAATGGACATATAGATATCACTAAGTCAAATACGGATCAAAAATTTCCGCAAAATTTTCGTCAAGCCCCCGCTCCAATGAGGGATGGCACGGGCGCATTGATAGATTGTGAAATAACGTTTGGGCAAGGAATGTTGTTAAGAATTACGCATGATGCTAATAATTCAAATGCAGTACATATCAAGTGAATTGGCGTCTGGTTGTGTGAGAAATCTGCTGCGTGATAAATATTATCTTGTTTGCGGCAAGTGTTATTCGTTATCATCATCCTGTATTTACCATATTATGTTTATTCACTTGACGCATCCATTGATAGCGGATTCTGAACATCAATTGAATTCTCCTGAAATTTTAAGGCCGCCATACATTAATTTGTGACATATGATTTTGAGTTTATCTTATCAATGCGCATAGGAGCTTATACCATAGATAATCTTGCGTACACTAATAATTGCGTGGTACGTATCGCAACCTTTATTTCATTAATCTGACAATCTCGAGGAAGTTTTAATTGCCAAATAAGAGAATGCACAAGAAATATTGAAGACACAAAATTTCTTATGTGCGCGTTTGACGGGTGGCGTGATACTTTTATCTCAATCCCAGCAACCTACTGTATTGTATGAAGCACATCTTGTGACGTGTCGCTGAGTCCGCACGTTCTGGTAACTTTGATTGTTTAAACCAAAATTATTTAAGTCCAGTAGGTGATTCAACCCCTTAATTCACTTATTACTTCTATACATCAAATTATTCAATCAGCAAGGCGTATGCTGTAACATCCGTTGCATGATACTTAATTATTATTTTTTTAAATGAAATCGAAATCATTTTTTTAAGAAAAAAATATGCAAAAATAAATATAATTTTTTGTTTATAAATAAATATGTATATATATACTGTATATACAGTCCAGTTCAAAAAAAATCAGAAATGAATTTTTCTTATAATTTGACAAATAATAATTGAAATTAAATAAAACTTTTAATATATTGTATATTATTTATAATAAAAGAAACAATGAATATTTAATTAGTGATTTATTTTAAAATATCAATTTAAAGGTGAAAAAAAAATTATGAAATATTTCTTATTGTGTTTAAACAACAATATTAAAATTATTATTTTGTAAAATTAATTTTAAAAAATTTTTAAATCCTTTACAAATTATGATTTTAATATAAAATTTAAAAAATTCATGTAAGATTATTAATTAAATAAAACAAAAAATTTTTAATAGTAAAATTATAAAAAAATTAATTTATTACAAAATATATTCTTATTTAACAAATTTATCATTATGTAATTTTAATAATTTTTTATTAATGATTTTTTTTTAAAAATTTTTTACATTAAAATTTAAAATAATTTGATAATGTATTTAAAAAAGTTTATAAAATAAACTTATTCTTTATATTTTCAAATATATACAATATATTTATTTATTTATAATATTTTATTTATTAATTATTAAATTATAAATATAATTAGAAATATAATTTATTCTATTTTTTTTAAACCAGATCAAAAAAAAATTTTTATAAATTAAAAAAAAATTTAAAGTAATTAATTAATATATAATAATAATTACAATATTATACAAAATAATAATATTATATTTATTTAGAAATATTAAATTTTTTATATATTATATTTATTTAGAAATATTAAATTTTTTATATATTATATTTAGTTCTTAAACAATTGCTATATAATTTTGTAAATTTAAACAATAATATTTAAATTTAATTAATAAAATTTTAATTAAAAAAAGTTGTTATTATAGTTTACAATTTAAAATAATATAGACAAAATCTAAACAATAAAACTTTATTAATAATTATATTAATTTAATTATATTATAATTTTTTTTTGCTTTTATTATATTATATAATATATAATTAAAAAATTTTTTAATATATGTATTTTTTTTATTTTTTATTATTAATTATATTAATTGTATTTATACTTATTTTAAAAATAGAAAATATTATTAATTTTTTTTTAATAGATAAATATTATATCTTTATTATTGTAAAAAATTTAAAATAATTTTATATGCAGAAAGTGATAACATCTCTTATATGATTAATTGATTAGTAAGTCTAATATTAGCTTGACTATAGAAATTATCTAAAATAAATATTAAAACTAATATGCAGTATATTCAAAATAAGAAAAATATTAATAAATACTGTATATATTATCTTTAAAATATTATTATTATTATTATTTATATTTATAATATATAAGATTTTTTAAAAAAATCAATAAGAATTTATATATTTTTATAGAATATTTATTGTAAATATAGCTACTATCCTTAGCTATATTTAATATATAATGGTTTAAAATTTTTTCTTTAATATTGGCTAAATATAAATAAAATAGATAAGTTAATATTAAACTTGCTATTATTGTATATAAAAATATTATTTTTTTTATAATATATATTTTTAATATCAAATCAAATAAAAAAATAATATTTATTTATTAAAAAAAAAAACTTTAAAAAACAAAATTAACTTGATTAAATTTTTTGGTTTTATTTAATAATTTTTTTATACAATATACAATATGTATCAAAAAAAATTGACTTTTTTAATTACAATTTTTATTTTAAAATTATTTAATAAATAATTAACACAATTGTGCAATAATTATAGTGATGGTATTACATAATCCCCTGCATATGCTGACATATTTAAAGAGCCTTGCTCTATAAAAATTTTTTTTAAAAAAAATGTCCATCAGATTAACTTCTCAATGCCAAACAATTTTTCATTTCTGAAATCAGGAAATATGTTTGCTCAAGAAACTCCAAAAGCTTACCAATATTTCTTACTCTACAATTAAGTACAATATCCAAAAAATAAAAAAAACTGGGAATGTTATATATCTGAGGGCAATGGTTGTCCAAAAAAAATCAGATCGGCAAAGGCACGTGTTCTCTAATATTATATCAACAAAAATAGTTCCTTACTTTTGTGAACTTTGACCATAAAACTTTTCATAAATGGAGAGTCCATATCACACTCAACTATAGGAAGGAAATTAAAAGAGCTTAGTTATAAAAATGTTTTTCCGGTGGGCACTCCAATGCTTACAGATCTTCATAAGGAAAAGCAGGTTGAATAAGTGATAAAACATCTCAATAATAGTTAGGAACAAACCCTGTTTTCCGACGAGACAACTTTTTCTTTGATTAGGAACATGATAAAACAATGATATAAGGATCATAAACTAATTAGGTCACATTTTAAAAATAGACAAAAGATTTTTGCCTAAGGGAATTTTGTATCAAAGGCAAGACATCTTTATTTTGTTTTACTAACATCATGAACATCAAATTTTATATTGAAATCTTGCATCAATACCATCCAAAAATCAGAAGAATACTTGGTAGGCAATGGAGGTTTTAATAGGACAATGACCTGAAGCATACAAGCTGAATTGTCCAAGAGTTTGTTGACGAGACTTTCCTCAAAATTATCGATTGACTGGCCAATAGCCTGGATCTTAACCCTATAGAAAACTTATGGGGTATCGTTAAAAATAGTGTAGAAAAGCCGTTACCATCAAATCTTGATGAGTTAGAATGTTTTATAATTAAAAAATGGCAAAAAATTCCAACTGATACTTTAGCTAATCTTGTTAAATCAATAAAACACCGTTGTTAGCTAATTATCGATAATGATGATGATCGAATTCCTTATTAATGTATTTTGTTTTTATAAATAAAAATTTATATGTTTTTATTTTTTAAATAAAATATTGTACATAAAATTTAATTAAAAATTTAAAAAATTATTAAAAAAAAAATGTCAATTTTTTTTGATACATATTGTATATTTTGATAAATATTTCAATAAAATTTTTAAAATATTAAAAAAATATTAAAAATAAATTACATATATTAATTATATGAATCTATGGATCTATAGTATAATAATTAGTATTTTATAGGTCAAATTATAAGATATCAGTTCAACTTCAAATAGAGATGATTGAATAGAATTAATATGATATCTTCTGTTCAAATATTGTTTCTTATAATAAGTCTATTTATATGCTAATTCAATAAGTATTGAGATTATAATTTTCTGAAAAGATATTATAACATGACAATTATCTGATTGGTGATAATAATTATTGAAAGTTGTAAGATATTAGAAGTATCTAATTTAGTATAAAATAATTTGATAATTATTTCTTATAATATTTGATGTCCTTTTTACAAAAGTTTATCTAAAATTACATCACAATTTAATAAGAAGTCCATCATTATATTACTTATTTTAAAAAAATATTTAGTATTATCAAATAATTACAAGACTACTGTAAGTTATAAATCTATAGTTATAAATATCTTAAACATTTTTGAGTTATAATAAAAAAATAGAAAATAAATAATTACAGACTTGCTACAAGTGATATAAAACAGTATGATCAATCTTGAATAGAGTTTTATTTATTAAAATAGATATTATTTTCAATTTTTTGTTTTTTCTTTCCCTTAATATGCTTTTTCAAATAAAATCTAAATAACAAAGTATTGTCAATATACTAGTGAAGTCTTGATAAACTAGCCTTGATTTCTTTTTTATAGTCTAGGATATATAATAAATCAATAACTCAAAGCTGATATTTGAAAAAATCTCAATATAGTTTGATATACAAATAGTATAAATATTATAGCAATTATATATTCAATATATATGTAATATACAAATTTCTAAAATAATAAAGTATATTAAGTAATAGCTTTAGTTAGCATAAAGAAAAAAAATTATTCTAATTATATAATATGTTTTTTTATTATTTATTATTAATTAATTATTATTATTACAAATTAATATTTTATAGTATCTTAGTTAAATATAATTATATAACTATTGTTATATTTTAATTATTTTATTTTTATTATATACAGTATATATATAGTTGAAATGAAATTATAATGAATTAGTTGCTTTGATCTGTTTTATGTTATATAATTATTAAAATAGTTTTTGTTCAAAAGAGACATATAAATTTGACTAGAATTTATAATATTGATATAGATTGATTCATTAATTTTGTATTTTAAATAGTCACTTCACATGTAATAATCTTATTAGTTAAGTTAAATTACAAGACAATAATTGATTATATTATATATTTTATTTCAAAAAGCATAATAAAATGTTTTTATATACTGTATATAAATAAAAAACTCTTTTTGCCAATTCTTTTATCAATACAAAAATGGATATTTTAAAAAAGATTGTATTTTTTTGTAATAAAGTTTATACACTTTTCTTAAAAATATTACTATTTAAAGATTTCAGTTTTCTTCTACTTGTTTCTTCTTTTTTTTTGATATAAACTTCTTATATTTCTATAAATATAAGAAAAACCTATCTATAAAATTAAAAACATAAATATTTTTTTTATAAAAAGTTACTGTTTTTTTTTTAACTTGAATTAGGCCTAATTAACCTAAACAGTTCTAAAGAGGATTAGAATAGTCAATTATAGGTGTATTTAATAAAAAAACTAATCTTTACTAGTAATATTTAACTAGGAAAATAATTATTTATTTATCTAAGCAAGGTTTAACTGAAATATATATAGAACAATATTCTACTTGCTATATATACTAGTTGAAATCTGATTATTCGGTAGTATACCACTCATCAATCATTTGGCATATGACAAAAAAATTCATCAAACATTTATTAACAATTTGGCAATTATTATCAAATTGGATATGCCGAATTATTGCTGAATGTTTGATGAATGCTTAACAAATTATTTATCATATATCGAATAATTGACGAGTGGCATATTGTTGAATAATTGGATTTCAACAAATATATCAATTCTAATTATAATTTGAAAGCAAATCTGTATGTGATATTTGCAATATATTTATATAATTAAGTGATTAATTATTTTATAAAATTAACTTATTATATAGTTTGATATATAATATTAAATTTTTTTTTTATATTATATATAATAAAAAAGTGATGAATTGATCAAGTTTAACCTAGACAACTGATAGGTCTACTGAGAAGTTGAATACTATTCTAATTATAGTTTATACTTTTCTTGAGTTATTAATAATAAAATATTGAGAATAATTATTACTTTTTTAATAAAAAATAAAATATTTTGTTATAAAAAAGCTTGTAGAAAAAATATTCTTTTTTTTTCTTTAGAGATTCAAAATTCTAAAATAGACTGATATAGGCTTTAGGAACTTAAGCTTTTTTTCTATTTTTATATATATATAAACTTTTTTTTTTAATTTTTTTAAAAAATTTTGTTTATTTAAGTTTGATTTCAAATTTTTTATTATACTAAAATCCTTGAATTATAAGTGATTTGAAATTTGGATTGGTTAATTTATATATAATAAAAAATATAAACAAGATATATAATTTTTATATGCCTTATCTTATATAACAAGAAATCCAATAATGCTATTGGATATAGTAAAAAGAGCAAAGTAATAAAATATCTATTTTGCTAAAAAGTATTATAGTATTTTTTTTTCTTTTTTAGATTGGTTTTTTTTTCAAGATTAAATAATTCTTATTTCTTTTCAATAAAAAGCTCTTTTTATTAATAATTATTCTAAAAAGATATCAAGCCATAGGTAATAAACCTTTTTAAGCAATAATTTCTATTGTAAGTCTTGTTATAAGTATTTTAAACATTTTTGGTTATTAATGGAATAGTAGAAATTAAATAGTTTGTTTAATTGCAAGTGGTAGTAAAGGATTTATTCTGATGTACCAATATTAATTTTGAAGAATTTTCATTTATCAAGACAAATGTTTCAAATATTCTTTTTCTTTTCTTTTATTTTCTCAAAAAATAAATTTTTTTATATCTTTAAAACCACAGTTTCATGTTGAAGTAACAGTCTAAATGTAGACTAGTTATAATTTTTTTTAAGACCAAGAAGCAATTTTTTAAAAAAATTAATTTTATCATTTTTCATAATTACATTTAGAGAGTTAATATTTGGAAAGTTTAAAATAGTTAATATCATGGAGTAATAGCTTAATAAATCTACTTCCTTGAAGTGAAATAGTTAATAAATAGCTAAATCATATGGGCAATATAGTGGTCTTGATATTAAGGATTTAAGAATTACATACAAATATACAAATAACTAGTTGATGGGTGTTATGCAATATGTACAGTTTAGCCTTAATATAATGTCTTAGGGTACAATATATTATTGTTTTCTATAATATTAATAAAGTCACAGAATTGTAGTTTGATTAGAGGCAATAAAAAAATACTATATACAAAACAGTAACTGTCTTTTCTTATTGATTGAGTTGTTAATAATCCAGATTTTAATTTATAATATTCTTTAAAAAAACAATTTAAGAAAATATTGATCATAGCAAGCTTTTGCCAAATTATATATTGTATTTATTTTTGATTTGATAATTATGTAGAATTTTGATTAACTCTTTCTTTCTATAGTATTAATATGTTTTGTAAAAGTTTCAACTTGATTCCATGAAATGCAATAATATTTATTATCTTTGTAAAAACCATTTTCAAGATATGGATTTATTAAAAGACGAGATGATGCTGATATTGACATTGTAGAATGAATATAAAGTAAATTTTAATATTATTTTCCTTCATCAGTATATTAACGTTTTTAATACAGTTCTTGTTCATATAATGTGACTGCATAAATCCGGAAACTCTATTTCCATGATACCATGTATAATATCATGTTAGAATCATCATTTCCCTTAACACTATGAAAATATTTTATTTTGGCGTTTTTTGCCACTGATGACAACAATGATGTATAATTATCCGAATCATTCTCAGTTCGTATTTTGAATTACCACCTTAAATGCAATGCTAATAGATGAGTGAAAAAATTTTTTTTTCTTTTCAAGATTTATCTCTTCAAATATTTTAAATCGTGCACAGTAGTATCTTTAAAAAATGTCTGAATACAGAGAAGCTATTCCTAATCCCGAGGATTCCGACAATGAAACTAATAACGAGACAGTTACTCAAGATTTAACGATTACGCAATCCAATAGCTCACTTTCTCCCTCGTTTCTGAACGAATTTAATAATCTGCGCCTCACCGAAGAACGTATTAATCGTTATGCTAATGAGATATCTTCTGAATCAAGGCCTTCCACTTCTACGTCTACGACGCTTAACGACATACCTCTTGCATTACCCGCCGCATCATCCACAAGCACAGTCGATAGAGAAGGCGAATCTTCTAGTGATCTTTCTAAATTAATGAAAAGGCGAGAAAGGGCTATGTCTAAAGCAATTGCTAACATAAAACGATCCATGGAAGTTGATCTCTGCTACGTTTTAGACTGCACTGGTGTGATTTTGTTTACGTTATTTTTAAATTCTACCCTTTACACCTGATACTTTGTTAATATTATAATTTTATTTAGGTTCCATGGCAGGTCATATTGCTGCTGCCAAAGATTGTATTTTACAAGTAACAGAACACATCCAAAATATAAATCCGTGCATTAAAATCCGAGTTGGCTTTTGTGGTTATCGTGATCACTGCGACGGCGTCTCTCGCCTACATATTTTTAAGTTTGGAGACTCATATGAAGAGTTCAAAAAAGAATTATCTAAGGTACCAGCTACCGGTGGTGGCGATGGACCCGAAGATGTTCTTGGAGGTCTTGATGCTGCTATATCTCAAATGAATTGGAATAACGGCACTCGGGTTCTTTTCCATATCGGTGATTATCCACCACATGGTCGCCGTTTTACCGACATGCATGATGATGAGTACCCAGATGGTGACCCGAATGGCTTAACAGCAGAAAGCGTACTAGAGAAAATGAAATTGGAAAGAATTCTTTATTTTTTTGGAAAAATTACGAATTATACTGACAAAATGATTGAAGTATTCCGTGGTATACTAGGTGAAGTTCCTGTATTTGATCTTGTCGGAGGAGGAGACCCGATTGAATTAATTAATAAATTCGTCAAGGCCACCACATCATCTATTACGATTTCTGTTTCACTAACTAGTTCCCTAGGGGCCAGAGATAGCGATGTCTATTCATTTCAACAAAGAAGTATTGATATAAATCCAGAAGTACCTGACTGGAATGCACTTCCAGCGCAAAGGGGTGTAACTTTAGGTTACCCTATTCCTAAGACTCAAGAAGAACTTAGAGATCGAAGATACTTTAAAAAAGAAAGGCTCTTTTCTAGAAACTTCTATTTCAAGATTGCACAGCAACCATTTTCTTCTGGTGTTGAGAAATATGCTTACTTTTCTATCGACACTAAGAAAGATCCGCCAAAAAAGATGGTGATGAAAGAATACTTCAAAAACGATTCACATAATCCTTTTGAAAAATATCTTGAAGCAGTAGAGATCTCTTCTGTAGCAAGTTTTCTCTCCATACGATTTAATTCAGTTGCAAGAAGAAAAAACATCCAATCCGTGAATTTCCTGGAAGTGAAACTTGTGCGTGCTGTTATTGACAACAAGACTCGTTATTACATTTCAGAGCCGGAACTTAAAGGCGCAAATTTTATGCGATTTAACGTAAATAGTGGGGTGATAGTGGAACTTCGTTATACTCTAGAGGCATTTTCCCATTTTACATATTGGTATACTGAGGGATATTTAGTGGTTAGCGATCTCCAAGGAATCGAACTCACTGATCAATTCCTATTGACCGACCCGGCAATACATTGTACCGATCCTTTAAGATTCGGAAGAACAAATCTAGGTAAAAGAGGAATTGATGATTGCTTCCTTAAAAATCATAGATGTAACGAGATTTGCGAAAAGTTAGGGATTATGGTTAACGGTTAAATCTATATTTATATTAAAAAAATCGAGTTCACAGTAGGGTTAAAACACTCGCTTAAATATTGATTATCTTTCTATCCATGTTATGGTTTATTAGTAAAACAAGACTCAAACATCGAAAATATATTTTACGATCAATAACATGTAATTATTATGATAATTCCTGGTTGTATTTTTTAAAGAAAAATAAAAAGAATAGAACTATATGGCAATTTTTTAAATATTTAAAATAATGTTTTGGTTATAATTAAAAGAGACAAATATACATATTAAATCGTTAATTCTAATTACAAATAATGTTTTAAAACTTAATATTCATATTTTTCATATCGATAAACTAAAATTTGTTTATTTATACTATTAAAATAATTTTATATATATAATTTTATTAGTATTTTTATATTAATTTAAATATTTATATTTATTTAAAAAAAATGTGAAATTTTTTCAAAAAATCAAAAAACTTATTTTTTAATAATTAACGATTCAAATTAAAAATGTTGCATTCTATTATGTAGTGATTTATTAATGAATTATAAATGCTTTTGAATTTTTAATTGTACAATAGCCGATAAATAAACTAAGCAATTTCAATATTTTAAATGTTTTTGTTAAAAGAAAATATTTTATTAATATTGATATTAACTAATTGTCAATATATTTAATTAAGTTAATGTTTATATTAAATCCAAATATTTACAAAATATTAAAATAAAGATGTATATAAAAAATAATTAAAAAAATTAACTTTTTTCTAATAGAAAAATAAAATTAGATTAATAAATAAAATTAGATTAATAAATAAAATTAGATATAATTGTAATATATTATATTTTGAGACTTATTAAACACAACAAAAAATTTATATTGACTTTATTTATTTTATATTGTATGTATAATTAAAGATTCAAAAATATTTACAATTTATTAATAAGCTATTATATACAATATATAAAATTAGTGAGATAACAAAAGTATTAAAATAAAATTATTTTATAATATAAAAGCAAATACAGCTACTTTATATAAGTTGATTTTCAAGTTATAAAAAGAATTTGATATATTTATCTTTTAAATATAACAGAATATTTGATAAATAGAAATTATTCTTATTTTTTTTAATAAATATTAGTACTTAGTCTTGTATAAAAACCTATATTGTCAAGAAGTAAGTAAAAAACTTTATTATTGATATTAGCTCTACTTACAAATATAACTAAAATTTCTAATTATTATATATTACATTATTAGATTTCCTAAAGGTTTGATATTGATATTAACTACTATTTTCTGAATATCAAAATGTACTATTTAAAGATTCAGGTATTAATGATTATATAAAACTTGTTGAATGTATCTAGTTTAGTCATCAATAAGTAAATAATACCGAATTTAATAATAATATTCATATAGATCTTTTGAAAAAGTAAACTGATTTTTTTCTAAAAATCCATGAAAAAAAAGGCTTGTCAAGATTTATATTTTATGAAAAGTTGTTGTTACATGAAATAATATCCAAATAAAAGAAGTCATCTAGCTATAAAACTAATAAAATTGAAAATAATAACTTTGAAAAAGAAGGAAGCTTAAGAAAGTGAAAACTTCAAAAAAAAAGAAAAAATCCAGTTTTAGTAGAAAGAAAATAAAATAACCAATGTAAGACTCTGGATCCTTTTATAAATATAACACATGACAAAAAATATTAAAAGTCTTATCCACTTTATGGATAAAAATTGTGGTCTTTTTTCTATTTTCTTTGTGATGTCTAGGCAAACAATAAAGTTTTTTTGCTCAAATAATAACTAGTGTCGAACAAAAAAAAGTGATAATATTGGCAAAACTGATGGTATAAGTCTAATAATAGTTTCTACAAAACTTGGTTCATTTATTCTCCGGAGATCTTCAATTCCTTGGACGAGTGCCCGGAGGTTCTCGATTTCCTGATCATTTCTATTAATCTCAGAAACAAGCTGTTTTCTTTTTCTTCCTCTTAACTTTCTTATAATCCGTGATCGTTCATCTATTTCATCTATTTTTCTTTGCAAGCTAGTATTTTCTGTTGATAAATAAGCTATTCGATTATGTAACCGTTTCACTAGCCGATCTCGTGTTTCATTGTTCATTTCAGTTATTCTTCTTTGTAATCCAACATTTTCGGTTTCTAACTCGTTTATTCGATCTTGTAGCTTGTTTGGTTTACTCATCTAGTTAATTTGAAAGACAGTCAGTATTGTTAGTTACCCAGCGATAATAATTTAAAGTGAACCGATAAAATAAATGAGAAAAACGTTAAAACCTTTACTTTTGTTAGATCAATCTTTAGATGGTTTTAAAAGAATATTTTTCTAGGAAAGGCCTTATGTTTTCAAAGCGCACCTAAAAATTGAGGTTTAAATATTTTTAAAAATTCAGCATTTTCAGTATAAGTTTATTAAAAGAAGCTCTTATTTAATGTATAGTTAATTCCTAATATGGTCAACAATAATAATTAAACGACGCTTTATTTCCTTGATGGATTTCTTAAATTCTTCGTTATCATCATTAAGAATGTAAATTTTTATACAGAATAAGGAGAAATGGGATGATTTCGGTGTAAGCCGGCTACGCATCATACTCGTCTAATCTGTTTGTTATAAATTCACGAAAAAACTGGAAGTTATTCTCCGCGCCTACTCTGCTGTACAACGTACATTTACGAAACAGGACATTTTACCGACGAACAAAAATTAATTATAACTAACAACGAAAAGAAATATTCCATTGTTAAAATAACATGAAATTTTCCATCGTTAGAATCACTTACTTATATTTTGAAAAACGATGATTTTGTTTTTGACTCTTGACTCTTTCACATGGAATCGAATCATGAGTTATTAAATAAAATAATTGATGCCTGATAATATGACCTTAATATTATACTACTGTAATATAAAAAATGATCAATTTCATATGGAATTTTTATTTAAACAATAAGTTTACTGTTATTACATTAATAATATTTAAAGGAATATAAATTAATTGTAACCTGTAAACTATTTGTATAAGTTTAAACCAAGTAGGTGGATTTATAAAAATAGTGTTGGATGTTTGATGCCTATCCAGAATGATGATATTATTTGTTTATTGGTATAATTTTTTTAGATTTGTAAATACTAAAATTTTTTGTTGTTGTTTTTGAGTTATCATTATTTTGTACTTTGGTTTTTTTTCACTTTATACTAAATGTTAATAAGATATTTTCTGGGAATAGGATCTCAAGTATGTAATTGAAAATTTTTCTTATTTTTTGTATATGGTTAAATAGAGATTGGAAGTTGCGAATAATCAGAATGAACAGAACTTTGTTTATTAGTTTGAGCCTGTTTTTATAAAATCAATTGCTAATATGTTTTTATGATTAAATTTTGTTATAAGGCTTTACAGTTTTGCTTTTTTTTGTTGACAAGGGTTGATTATAAATACAAGAAAATATATATGAAATATTTTTTATAAAAGCATTATATCTGAATATAAATTATCTGTATATAAATCAGGTATCTTTTATATAGCTTTAATTTGATAGTGTAAGAGGGACCAAAAAAATTAGATAGATTCAACATATGTCATCCTCGCCCAATTGGGGTTTAATTGGGGCT